TGATATAAATACATGTAACCAACAAAATAAACAAATTCTGTCCCTAAGAATACAAAGTCAATCTGAATCAAATGAACCTAACAGTACACATTTGATAGTATAAACTCATGAGAATCACTTTAAAACACAGTAATTTATGTCAAGTGATATGTTGTCGAAAGCCAAAGAACAGCAAAAATACTGTTTTAAGTAATCATATTACTTGTGGTAGTGCTGGTTTTCTAAGATTATTTTTGTCTTGTGTGATAGATAAAAAGAAAAACTGATGCCATTGGTAACAGATTTTTCTGTGTGTTTTAAAGCAAACACAGAGATAATTTATAGCAACTTATGATGTATTTCTTTTAAAAAGTTTAAAGAAGGGGAACCTAGAGAGGGAAATGTGCTGAAGAACCTTACCAATCAAAATTTTGAATCTGTGGTGGGTCTGGTTCATGTACTGTTTTTCCTTTTATATATATATTTGAAAAATTCCATAATAAAAAATGTTTTATGAGTTTATCATTCTGCTTGGACACATACTATTTCCTTTATCCTTTTAGAATTCTAGATTGTTAGCTGATTTGCAAACCTTTGCATTCCATAGAGAAGTTATTTGCTTAAGGATTAAATACTGTGACTCATTGCTAACCTTTCTAGGGGAATGTGATTTTAGAATTCTGTTACTGTTTAATGATTCTAAATCATCTTGCACACAGAATAGCTGATATAATTTCTGCCAAATGAAGAGGGACATATATTTAAAAAGTGTACATCTCCCCTTTGAGTGTCAGCTCAATGAAAGCAGGGACTAAATGTCTTTTGTTCACTTAAAAATTATAATGCTTTTTTGTCTATTAGGTGCTTGATAAATACTAAATGAATAATAAACATCTGTACTTTGTTATAGAGTAACATTTATATAGTGCTTTATATACGTTCACAGTGCTTTCAGTTATAATCTCATTTTCCTTTCCTAAATTTCCCATATGTAGAAAAAGACAGGCATTATTTCTGTTTAATGGAAGAAAAATAGACAATGTATAGAAAACAATGCTTGAATGTATGTAAATGCCAGAAAACTGCATTAATAACTATGTATAAGAAAGAACTAATTGCAGATCCTGGGGTGGCTTTCTTTTAACCAATAAAGATAAGTATCTCCCTACATATATTTTAACTTCAGATATCTTTGCTTGAACCATATAAAGTTGTGAGGTTTCAAGATCAAAATGAGTGGAGGATCAGCAGTTTCACACCGTCCAACCTCTATAACAGTAAGGCTGCTGAAAAAGAAGATGGACAAATGCTGTGACCCCTCATCTCTGTCTACATGTCACTCACCCCTAAAACTGACAGCAGAATGGGAACTGCCTTTTCTGGCTGCAGGGATCATCTGTACTAATTTCTACTCTTCTTTTGTTTCTCCTTAACTCATCCAGAGACTCATTTTTATTAAAAGAGTATGGCCATAAGTTGCTTGGCATTAATAGCTATAGCAAAGAACAGAGGCAGCAGTGCATTAAAGGAATTAAAAGTATTACTTTTTAAAAAAATGACTGCTTTCAACCTATCTAGTAAAGTAAGAGTAGAAGATATTTTCTCCCCAGTGCTGTAGAGCCATATTATGTTGGCAATGTAAGTTTGGTAATGAGCTCTGCATGCCAAGCTACCCTGCAGGTCAAGATCTGGGAGAAGAATCCTGTTAGTGCTAAGACTAAAGTTGGGACAAAAGGGAATCAAATATATTCTACCTGTTGATAACACTGGGCATTCATAGATAAAATTCAATACTGACTTAACTCATAGGCTCTATGACTAGATTTTGAGCATTATAGAATGGGCTCATAATATTTATAAAAGCAAAATCTTGTACCTGAGAATGGAATTACAGTAAAAAACCAGAAGAAAATATTAGTGATATGTCGTTGGCATTATCAATAATAAGAAATACGAGTGGAAAATGAGATAAAAAGATATGCCTATAATAGCTGAAATTAAAATGTTACTGGTTGACATAAGTAATAACATATGGAAAACAAAAATTCATTAATACCATTTGGTATGGCCTGAATTGTGTCACCCCACGCCCAAAATTCATATAATCTTCACCACCACTACCCTCAGAATGACTGTATTTGGAGACAGGGTCTTTAAAGGGGTAAGTAAGTTAAAATGAGATACATTAGGGTAGGCCCTAATCCAATTTGTCTACGGTCCTTAAAAGAAGAAATTTGGGCACAGATATCCAGAGGAAGACCAGGTGAAAACATAGAAGACTGGCATCTACAAGCCAAGGAGAGAGGTCCAACCCTGCCAACACCTTGATCTTGGACTTCTGCAGAACTGTGAGAAAATACATTTCTGTTATTTAAGTCACCTAGTCTGTGGTACTTTGTTATGGTAGCCTAAACAGAATTATACACCATGTTCAAGCCACTTAACGGTAGAATCAGCATTCCCCCAAATTGAATCAGATCTAAAAAAATGAGTTTTAGAAAGTATTCAAGAATATATCTTTAAAAGGGTAAAATCATAGAACAAAAAAGGAAGATTTGTGCATCTGTTTTTTAGATCTATGACAAACTGAGATAAGCCATTATATCTGTTCCCATTCCCTGCTCCCCACCCCCAAAAATAAAAGTAGAAGAGATTCAACAAAGGAAATATTTCTTCAGTGGTAATTTGTAAATCATAAATGAAAACTAGAATACTGGAAAGTAATTATCTTAGTTTCCTAGGACTGCAGTATCAAAACAGTATGAACTGGGTAGCTTAAAACAACAGAAATTTATTGACTCACAGTTTTGGAGGCCAGCAGTCCAGAATGAAAGTGTTAGCAAGACTGTGTTCCCTCTGAAGGCTAGGGAAAGAACATGTTTGATGCCTCTCTCCTAGGTTCTGATAGCCTTAGATGGTTTTGACTTGTAAATGCCATCTTTCAATCCGCTGTCTTCACATGACATTCCCCATGTGTATCTTTTCATCTTCCCTCTGTGTGTGTTTCTGTGTTCACATTTTCCCTTTTTATTTGATAACAGTCGTATTAGGTTAGGACCCTCCCTAGTGATCTCATTTTATCTTGATTACCTCTGTAAAAACCCTGTTTCCAAATATTGTCACATGCACAAGGACTATGGGTTGGTTAGAACTTGGACGTATTTTGGTGGAGAGACACAATTCCACCCATAGCATTGATGTACCAAAATGTTAACAGTGTTAATCACTGTGCCACTGTTACTATGCTTTTTTTTTTTTTTACCCTTTCTATTTTTTTCCCACAACGGGCATGTATTCCTTTTATAATCTGAACAATCTGAATGTTACTCAAAGAGTAACATAAATGATTTTTTGTAAAAGTCTCACTTTTATTTGCTTCATTAGCTCCCAGTTTTTACGTTATATAATCCTGTTTGGTTTAAATGATTTTCTGATTCAGCAAGAGTCCATTTGCATTAATGTAACATTTAGCAATCTGTCATCTGCATAATTATACATCTGTGATTATAGGTAGGGTAGAAGAAACTAACATCTCTGAATTAAAATGGTCTGTTAGCATTTGTTATCTGTAGAGAGCAGACTGATGTTGTGGGTAAGAGGAGGACTGTATGAATAAAGAAGGCATTTAGCAATAGGTATATGAGCAGTGTGAACACCGTCAGTTACCTCTAAGTCTTGAGTCCCTAGGCCATGAAAGTTTTCTCACGCATTAAGCAAATAGATGAAGCATCCTAGGATGTCTTTCTATTTGGATCATATGCCAAGCTCTTCATTAGTTTTGTGTGAGTTAGTGGTTATTGCTTTTTTTAAAGTATGTTTTTATAAGCTTTCTAATGAAGTAACTTCTTTTTTTTCTAGATTTGCCTACAGTGGATAACTCAGTGTTTTTGGAATTATTTAGACTGGATAGAAATCTGCCATTATATTGCTACTTGTGTTTTCCTTGGTCCTGATTATCAAGTGTATCTCTGTATAGCTATATTCAAACATCTGCAGCAAGACATTCTGCAGCACACTCAGACTCAAGATCTGCAGGTTTTCCTAAAAGTAAGTAACTTTAGGGGGAAAATGGTGGTTAAGAGTTCATAGCTAACTTTGATGGGATGTTTATATGTCAGACACTTTTCTTGACAATCATCTGAAAACAACCTTAAGAGGTAGGTACTATTATTCTCATTTTATTTATTTTATTTTATTTTTTTAAGATTTATTTATTCACTTGAGAGAGCGAGAATGAGAGAGAGAGTACATGAGAAGGGGGATGGTCAGAGGGAGAAGCAGGCTCCCCGCCGAGCAGGGAGCCCGATGCGGGACTCGATCCCGGGACTCCAGGATCATGACCTGAGCCGAAGGCAGTC